ACATTCATATACATATGTTCCACCTATTTCGTATATGTTCTACGGAGGTTGACACACCACTGTATCCTGCCATAATCCAGATATACTTTCACCACCTTTTACTCTGATTCAGGATGACTAAGCACGGCTCAAGGAAAGACAACCCAAATCATCATTCCACCAAACGTTCGGCAGAATTGGCTACAAATATCGGCAACCTTAGCAACATTATATCTACCAAATTCGAAGAGCTCTCGAAAGAACTACTAAACAAAGTTAGCTCCATTGTGAATAGGGTAAAACTGTTGGAAAAACGAAAAAACGGAAAAGACAGGATCTGGGAAAAAATTGGTGAAATAGCGTCGGAAGTACAGTCTGAAGTAACACTAATTCGGGAGGAAATACAAGAACAAACCCGTCGACTACACAAAGTTCTAAACATTATTATGATGGGTGTACCAGAAACGAAGACATCGACTCAGCGACAAAGGTGATAAAAATCATTTTACCCTCTTGGACCGAAGCTATACCAAATAACAGAGTTGGTGACCCAAATTGGAAGAGTCCACACCAGAGTCCATTCCGAATCAATCCACACAATGCACAGGAGAAGCTGGAAGCACTGCGAAACTGCTGGAAGCTGAAGGACCACCAAGATTTTAATTAAAACCATCGCGGTGCGTCGTGATCTTCCGCGAAAGCAACAGGAGGATTGGAAACACAACTACGCAAGAGAGAAACTGTCGAAAATAACCACCAGTCAGGACTCAAAGAGGAAATTAATCGTAAATGAGACGTCTTTTGAATCACAGACACAAGCGGCGAAGCAGCATAAAACTGGTGACAGCTCAATAACGGAACAGGATTGACTCCAGGGCACCATAAAGCGAAGCATCATAAAGTATCTACATATAACACGACAGCAGCATTACGGATCGGACATTTTAAACATTAACTCGTTAAGATATACAAATTTGTAATTTATCAGAATACCTGCATGCAAATATTGATATATTCTACATGACTGAAACTAAACTTGATCACAAAATTCAAATTTATTCATACTACCTAATTTATTAGATTATTTGATTCATTATACCTAACTTAGGTTTTATGGAATACAAAATGTCAGGCATAACAACCTTTTTAAAAAGCAACCCTGATTAATAAATAATAATAATAATAATAAGACATAAAATACATACCGTAAAACCTCTATTTATAGCCCTATTCTAATTATAGCCGGTCTCCAAATATAGCCGGGTCCAGAGACCAAGATTTCAAAATTTTAGCCGGGTCTCTAATTATAGCCGGGTCCCCAATTATAGCCGGGTCTCTAATTTTGGCCTGTCCTGTCCGCTGTGTCCCCGTTGATAGCCCATTCAAGAAAAATGTTGAACATTATGCTAATCAACGAGCATGTTGAACTACTAGTTTTTAACTATCTACTAAACCTCGTTTAAAGATTTTAAGTGAATGGGTTACTGATGGTATATCTTGCTGAATAAGAAAACTCAAATTGAGTCAGCATAATCTTGTAATATCTGAAAATGTCTAAAATTTTTGGAGCAACAAAATTTAGCCGGGTCTCTAATTATAGCCGGGTCCGTGACCCCCAGTTTTGGATTTTAGCCCCGGCTATAAATAGAGTATTTACGGTAATGCCTTTTATTAAATTTACAGAACGTGCGTCTTGCCCACCATTGGATCAACCTGAAAACCTCGCGACGTTATCACCTCTCCTTATCTGTGAGACCTTGTGGGAGGCAAGCAAACCAGCTGAACACCTGTTTTACTTCCAGCTCCCCATTGTCTCACCATTCTCTGAAAAAATGATAATCGTATACTGCTTAACCAGGGCGGATTATGATCCTCTATCATGGTCATGGATTACGTCACCCTTTGACTGGCCAACCTGGTTGTGCTTACTTCTAACAGTCACTCTATTTGGAGTAGTTGGTCAAACCGACACTATGGTGGCAGACGGCTTATTTTTCTTTGCCTACATATCCCTCACTAACACAAAGCCATGGCGGAATGTATTCTTCGTCAGTCTAATGTTCCTCTCTTTTCTCAGCTATCATTACGAATCTTACATGACCACGAATATAACGGCACCTTTGGAGTTATTTTTGTACCAAGACGTCATACAAGCTTATGATTCCGGGTACCGATTTCTTATGGAAGATCGTGAGGACTTTCTGCGTTGGCGTCCTCACCTAAAAACTCTATACTTTGCCATCTTGCCAGAGAACTTAATGACACAGATGTTGTCTACGATGAACCTAAGCAGCCAAACGAAACTTACGTCATTTATTACAATAACAGAATGGTCCAGCTCAAAGGGTTAACTGAACTATATGGGAGAGTTGCCGACAAATTAAATAAGGATAAAGTAACAATTAATGATAAGGGGATAATATGTTTTTTCATCAAGAAACCCTATGGTCCATTTGCCACCGATTTATATTCATATGGCAGCATGACGGCGGTATGGTTTACAAGAAATTTTCAATTATGGAATGACCAGAGTGGTCTAATGGACCAGTCTTGGGATATATTTGCAGAAAAAGTTGCGAAAGAGGAGAGGGTGAAGGCGAAGGACTGCAATTACGAGGAAGTGGTGGGATGTCGGTAGGAACACAAATTGAGATTATATTCGAACTTTGGAATTTTGTTTGTATATTTTTTGATCGGAATTTTGTTCAGTTTGTTAGTATCTTGTTGCGAGAGACGGTGCCGAAACGGGATAAATACGATTTTGGGCTTTCGCCCGGCAGATCTGGTATATCAATTGAAAAATACTTTGTTACGAATACGCGCTCAATTTCTTCAAGTACCCATTAGCCTTGTACAATTTGCTAGGCTTGCTAAAGCAGCTTGCCAAATTTGCTAGACTTGCACATATCCAAGCAAACGCGTGCTATATCTGCACAGACATACGACAGCGCGTGTATTTGATGAGTTCCGCAGAGCAGGATATCGATTAGGCAAGTAAAATTGACTAACAATGCGATGGTGTGAAGTGTAACCCTCCGATTTGGTTGAAATTTTGAAATTATGTGGTCCATGTTAATACAACCAACGTTTCTTCAGGCAGTTTGTGCGGTGGTCAGAATTTGGCAAAATATCTGAGGGCAAAGTTGCGGCAAATGCCTAATATGAATTTGTGTATATTCCCTAATCAATAACTTTGTATGCAATTTAGATGCGTTTAGTGTGCAAAGCTACATATAATTCAAAATCACTCACCCGTTAAGTCAAATGTACATAAATATAGGACGTGCGTACCTTATATGTATTTCGAGTTTCATATTTAAATCTATAGGTATATTTAAATTTTACATCCGTTCATTTATATATGTACTTCACATTAGTTCACAGTGTCAAATAAACAAACAATGCCAATCCTATTACCAGTGTTTCGTTTCTTGCGGGTTTTTCTCATTTTTTGCACTGCAAAGCAAGAAATGCAAGAAAGTGCAAGAAACACAGCGCCATCTAGCGACGCGCCTTCAGAACTATGGCGGCGGGAAGGAGTTTCTTGCACTTTGCATTTCTTGCGGGTAAAAATAGCTACAAGAAACCAATTTCTTGCGGTTATTTCTTGCAGGTGGTTACTTGCACCCGAAACACTGCCTATTACTGGAATATTCTGTTACTCAAGTCAGGGAATATTCGCACCCTCAAGTTATTTCTGTTCGGATTTTCTTTCGTGTAAAAATTCATTTTTTATGAAATTTCCGGCTTGGGAAAATCTCTTCAAAAATATGCAGAGTTATTGCCCATAACCAAATTCATACATATTTGATATAAATTAAAATTGCACTTCACATGCCATCCAATATACTGTATTAAAAACTGGGAAGATTTCTATAGTGAATACGGTTTTCGATTTTTCCGGGTTTTGAAATTTTCCTAAAACTTATATATGTATCAGTTTCCAATTGTAAAATTGTCCATTATGGCGAGACATTTGAACCAACCTGTATGCACATTACACACGCAATACATATCAAAATAAACCGTCGCAAACGCGCATACGGAAGTAGCTTCAGACGTACTTCACCCCAAACGGTCCCACCACAACTCGGGAACACTTAATTTCACTCTATTTCACCTATAGATTAATTTTTTGTAAAAATCTCATTTTGCCCCGACCACACCCCCTGGCGACGAGGGGGTGTGGAACAACTCGGGAACACTTAATTTCACTCTATTTCATCTATAGATTAATTTTTTATAAAAATCTCATTTTGCCCCAACCACACCCCCTGGGGCCGAGGGGGTGTGGCACAATCGGGGAAGCACTTAATTTCACTTAATTTCATTTAATTTCACTCAATTTCACTTAATTTTACCCATAGAATAAATTGCACTAAAAATCTCATTTTGCCCCAACCACACCCCCTGGGGCCGAGGGGGTGTGGCACAATCGGGGAAGCACTTAATTTCACTTAATTTCATCTAATTTCACTCAATTTCACCTAATTTTACCCAGATTAAATTGCACTAAAAATCTCATTTTGCCCCAACCACACCCCCTGGCGCCGAGGGGGTGTGGCACAACTCCGGAACACATAATTTTACTCTATTTCACCTATAGATTAAATTGCACTAAAAATCTCATTTTGCCCCGACCACACCCCCTGTCGCCAAAGGGGGTGTGGTCCGGTTGCCCCCAAAAGTTGATAGGATCCTCCCCCTGGGGTCCTATGTATGATGGCGAAAACCGATTTCGATTATCTCGATCCGTTCTCCTGATATCCTGCTGACAGACAGACAGACAGACAGACAGACAGACAGACAGACAGACAGACAGACAGACAAAGTCTTCACATAAAGTAGCTGAAGCTACTTAATAATGAAATGAATATTGTGTAACAGAATTCCACTCTAATCGATATTCTGATTATCAGGATAACCAAGGCTACTCACATAATTATCTCACAAGTATCAAAGATAACCTAGACATATGTAATACAGGTTAACCATCCCACACATAGTTCGCCATCAGAGAGAGTAGCACATGCATACATCTAATAAAACCTTAAATATAAATTAATAAAATGTACACTGTAAAATTATTCGCAGTAATTTTTCTAATAAAATTTCCATCTTATTCTGCCGGACAATTAATCGCCGTCGAAACTGCCGCCAAACTACCCAAAAGACTCGCCCATTCCGCCGCCTGTTACGATGAGGACGATTCCATTTTCATATTTGGCGGTTGGGAAGAAGAATCCGCGCCAAATTATGAATCCGATAAAATTCTACGCTACAATATTTCCACCGATTCCATAGAAACGATGCCCACAATTTTGCCAGTTGGCGTGATGCACGGCTCTGTGGTGATGGATAACCTCGGAAACTTTTATTACCTTGGGGGATACACGGTGAATGAAGAGTCTCGCGCCATTTTTAAATATTCACCGGTAGACGGAGTCATCACCGAGATTCTCAACATGCACCAGAGTGTGGTACAACCAGGCGGCAGTTTTAATTGGAACGCTACGACGGCATTCTTTTTCGCTGGAGGGTATGTTCCCAAGTCCATTTTAAAGTTTGACACGGAAGCTAACACGATAAATGAAGTTGCCGAACTGCCGCTGGAGTTTGATCAGGTTAGCATTTTCAAAAATTTACCCGGGTTGGGTTGGACATCCGAATTCTAATTTTTCGGTGAACCGAATGATTTGGATTCGGTTTGGATGAGTACGATACGATATCGTTGATACCCGAAAATCGGACAGCTTACTCAATTCTGCAAATAGCTTAGGCATATTCGGGAATTAAGCGGGTAAATTAACTAAATATTTGATTTCCCCTTTTCCAGGTTGCCGTGTTTTGGGATGACATTTTCGAATTTGCCTATATCTTCGGATCCAGACGCAATTCCAGTGATGACCCATCGGAAATTATGGATCGACCAATTATCGTTTTCAATCCTGTCAGTGAAAATCGAATCGGGGTGATAGACCTCACATATTCTGCTATTACTGGACCAACTCGCACAGTTTCTGATAGCAGGTAACCTTTGCTTTGTAAACAGTTCAAACGTCCCCAAAAATTGTTTAAACTAATCGGGTTAAATTTTTTAAACAACTTCCCTGCCGGACTGTAGTCTAGTCTTTCTTTATAAAGAGTTATTGGGTATCAGGTTTCAGACTGTTTTTAAATACATCACACAAACTAAAACAAACTATTTATTAATTAAGGGAGCGTCCATAAATCACGTGATCGATTTTTGGACAATTTTGACCCCCTCCCCCCCCCTTGGTGACCGGTGGTGACAATTTCGCTACCCCTCCCCCCCACCGGTCACGTGACAGGAGATGATGCTCTCATTAAATCATGTTGTCCGGAATAACAATATTTTTAAAATCATTAATCAAATTAGAGCTACATGACACACATATGTAAATAACTATTTAATACGCCAGTCAGACATAAGAATTTAAGTCGAAGCTAGTTTCTAAATATGCAAGATGAAAATCAAATTTATACATATAACGTGCGTATGCCAAGGGAGTTTATATATAACTCTCATGACATTTATTGGCATATTGGCATATACAAAAGTTTAAAAAAACTTTACTCATGTCACGTGACATCTGACCACCTACCCCCCGTGATAATTGGTGACAAATTTTAGACCCCCTCCCCCCCTCTAATCGATCGCGTGATTTATGGACGCTCCCAAAGGAAAGTACACAATTTTCACTATTTCTGAAAATATTTAAAGGAACCAACTCGAAATGCTTGAATTGACGATTAGTTTAATTCCACACGAACGTTATAGAGTAGAGTAACAATAATGAAAACCGGAATCTGTTCGGACAAAAAGAAATTTGAAGTGGATGAGCTTATCATCGTTTATAGAGCTGATTTTTGTTAGTTCAACGGTATCAATAATTTGGATCTACTCCGCCCCCTCGCTGAGTGGGAGGAGCTCAAATTTGAAAAAAATCGCCCCGTCTGCGATTTTTAGCGCAAAGGAGGGTCAATATTTTTGAAAGCGGTTTTCACCAAAAGTTTCCTAATTTTATTCCCTACAACCCGTTTCGCCCGTTTTTTGCAGTTCCAAAAACGAATTACGCCATTTTGGACAAAGGGTAGGGAAGGGTGAAGTCTCACATAACCCCATAAGTGAGGTATCGTTGGAAAGGACTCGGCGGGAGGATTCAGAATATACATACATAATAATATGTACATAATATAATACATTGTCCCGTGCATAACCACTCCCTGATGTTCCAGGGACAGAAGAATATTTTTGAGTTTTTTCCCATCTATTGCTACGTTAGCTCCCAATCTACCCCTGTGTTAAGGTCTGGATGTTAGAAATCGTGAAATACGTTTTTGGAATTTCAAAAAACGGGCGAAAAGGGTTGTAGGGAATAAAATTAGGAAACTTTTGGTGAAAACCGCTTTCAAAAATATTGACCCTCCTTTGCGCTAAAAATCGCAGACGGGGCGATTTTTTTCAAATTTGAGCTCCTCCCACTCAGCGAGGGGGCGGAGTAGATCCAAATTATTGATGCCGTTGAACTCACAAAAATCAGCTCTATAAACGATACCAAGCTTATCCAGATCAAATTTCTTTTTGTCCAAACAGATTCCGCTTTTCATTATTGTTCCTCAGTACCAAATTTTCGAGTTCAGAATTAATTTTTAATTCTATTATTTAGGTGACATTCTATGTATGTATGTAGGTCGCAACTTAAGAACATATACATATTTCGTTTCCAAAAACCAATTCGTTAACTACGACTAGTTATAAATTGTAGCGTTGAAGTGGTATAAATTCATGAATAACATTTAAAGTTAACTTGCATATGTATCCTTTGACCGTTTTTGCTGGGAAAGCTCCTATAAATTCCCCTGTTGATTTAATACTTTAGCGACAAGATTAATAGCGTTCTTATAATCCCGCCTTACCCGACTTCCGTCGTTTGAATATGTTCATAGATACGGCTACGCCCTGGGGGGCTTTGAACCCTACGACAGCCTCATGCGCTTCGACCCGGTCTCCTTCGACGTGGAATATCTGCCCGTGACCAACCATCCCGGTGCGAGTGAAGACGGGCTCACCAAATTCTGGGGAACCAGCGTCGTTTACGTGGCCAAATTAGGAAGAATTTATTTCTTTGGAGGATTCTCCACAGGAAGTTCGGGAGATATTTGGCATAACAAAATTTGGTTTATTCAGACAAATTAAATCGCTTGATGAAGACAACTGTACGATATTTCTTAATTCGAAATTCGAGACACTGATTATACTTCCAAGAAAAATAATAAAATTCAAATACATTAAAAAATGGTTACTCATTTCAAGAGATGGGTTACCTCGGTGCTTCTTCTTGCTTTTACATACACTCAAAATAAGGTAGTAATGAATCATTACCATGCGGAATGACTATGTGGCTCTACCACGTCGGTTACGATTTGTAGTAGAAATGGTAATAATAAGTTCAGGGAAATTCAAATTAATTACCAAATATTAAGGAAGTGAATACCATTATGCATTGCATTTGAATTTCGCTGAACTTATTATTACCATTTCTACGACAAATCGTAACCGACGTGGTGGAGCCACATAGTCATTCCGCATGGCGATGATTCATTACTACCTTATTTTGAGTGTAGTATTTCGTTTAGCAATACATAAATATTAATTTGACATCCATACATGCATATTCGTATTAATAAGCCTATTTTCCACGCAATATCAACCAAAGTACTTAAGCATTCTGTACCAATCATAACTGAAACTATGCTTATTTATTATGGGGTTTAAGTAAATAAACTCGCCCAATGAAATTCACTTTGCTTCTAAATAAAAAAAATGCAGTTTTAATTATCTTCAGATATGGATACAATTAATTTTTCCATTTTTAAATAAGTAAGCAAATACCTATACATACTCACACACATATGCAAATACACATATTTACATAAAGTATTCTAGCCGAATTTCAATCCAATTATGGAAGTAATGCCAAGTAAGATTTTACCCGTAGGAATTGTATGTTTGCATTTCACTTCATTTAATTGCCTTCTCCTTAATCATGCGAATTGGAAAATACCTACCTAAATTAAATAGTTTCGACTAAGCATAGCTACGTGACCTTAAACTTGACCTTTCTCTTGGGACTGGACACAAAGAATGAAAATTGTAAAAACTGTGTTCAACATCTGAAAAAACAACAAGCGTTAAATAATAATCATTCAATTTTTTAATTTCGTTTAAAGGATATCCACTTAATTTTTACTTACCGAGATAACCAATGAATAATTTAAGATAAACATTCCCCCTCCACAAATTCCTACCGGGTTATCTCTCAACTCATGCTGATTTGAAGATAAACTTGATTCTCCCTTTAAACGCGTCAACTCTAATTGATTTTTCGGATTTGAAATCCACTTTTTTAAAATGTCTACCTGTAATATTTATAAAGTCTCAGGTTATTAAGTGAATTGCCATCCTAGAGTAAATTAGCAATAGAAAATGGATACGAAATGTGGTAACAAAAGGGTAATAATTTTAAAATAAAATTCACTGAAATGCTTGTCAAATATCATTTTCCAGGAAAAAACAAGAATGATAAAAAATTGTCAAAATCAATACACCTTAGATTTTTCCTCTGCTACTCAAAAATGTATTTTAAAATTCTGGACAACAAATTTGTAGTCAACGCATTGATTGAGAAAATAGCGGGAAGTCTCTCTTCAGTTTAGGCAAGTTTTAATATTCCTGAAGGCTTCTTTAACTTGAGAACTTCCTCTTAAAAAAGTATCTAACTCTGAAGTGTATATTTTTAAATTGGCTACTCTTTGCTCATCGTATTTGCTACCCAAACTTTTAAAACAAATATCTGCAGCCCGGCTTACGGATTATGGCCTCCGAGCAATTGCCCCCAAATAATGGCCTCCCACCCAATGTTCTCAGGAGGCTATTGGTCGGAGGCGGTTGGGGGAGGCTATTGGTCGGAGGCGGTTGGGGGAGGCTATTGGTGGGAGGCGATTTTCCGCAATTCCACAGGCCAGATACGATTTAAACTGTGCTGATTTTAACGGTGTGTCATTGAGTTTTTTATTTGTAGGTACCAACATTTGCACAAGATTCCGCAGCCCAGTAAAAGGTCCCCAGCGTAATCAAAATACAAACAGTTAACACCACCCGATCCATGATTGACGGCATAACGACCAAGTCCATCAAATGCAGGGAATAATAGAGCAGCACGTCCAGCAAAAATGGAGCCACCAGCCCGTCAAACACTTTTCGTTTAGCAGATCCGAAAGGACTTTCAAATCGTCAAACATCTCCAATATTTCTGCCACGGCAAAATTATTGTCCATCTCCTTTTTTGCAACTTGCGAAAAATATTTGCACGGAACCCACAGCACAAAGGTTACCGCAAACATAAGATAGTCCACATCATAAGCAACCTGCATTCTGCAGAAGGAACCCAGAATATCGACCAAACCAAGGAATGTGTCCAAATAATCGGGATAATTTGACTCACCGGGTGAACTTATAGTGTTTATCATGGATTTTGTAAAGTTTTCGTAAAAATTTGTGGAAAATAGGAGGTTAACTTTGGGCGGGAGTGAGAACATTATCCCATCATAGATTCCACAAATGTGCCAAATTGTCTTAAAAAAGTACAGAAATGGGAGGCTGCACACCTGAAAAATTTAATTCAAATTAAAACCATATTTCCTCCATTCGGTTGTTACGAATGTGGGTGAAAGCCCTTTATAGGATCGTAATGTCCGTCTGTCTGTCCGTTGGTCCGACAACGACTAAAGGAAAAGTTGTCCAAACTACGAATTTGAACATAAACTCTTAACGTCCATGGGCAGGCTGTTTTCAAAGTAATATTGTCACGGCGACAAATTATTCTGACCTTCGATGACCTTCCAAGCGAAGTGTTAAAGGTCGGATAGGTCGAAAATGTGTCAAACGTGTCAATTTTACCAGAGTTAAGACAAAAATATGACATTCGCTTCACAGTTTTCACCACATATCTAGTTACAAAGGTTTAACGATCTTTTCACAACTTACAATTTTCAATTTCCAGTTCCCACTGGATTCCAGATTCCAACAATTTTTTCCTTGCATATGCTCCAAATGGTCCAATTTTTTTTTATTTCGGCCCCCTTTTTGAATATAATGTGATAAAAGACCGAAATTTTCCACAGAGAGATTGTGTATTTCAAAGTTTGAATATAATTTACGGGATCGTGCCCATGAGCGTGTTTCATTTGCATGACAAATTTCAAGAAATATTTCAAAACCGCGAGGAGAAAATTTATTCCGCAAATCAATTTTGCTAAGAAAAACGAAGATTGGGATAAATCGGAATTAACTTTGAATGGACAATTCCCCGTGTAGTAACAAAAATTAAAATGGGAACGGAAAATGTTTAACATTTTGGGTGAATTTTGACTTTTTGTGATAAGTGTGGTCGGGGTGAAGGGACTTTTTTGAAACATTTTTACCTAGTTTAGAAAACAGTTTTTTAAGATTTATACAAGACTTTTCAGCGTGCAAGTATTTTTGTGAGGTGTCAAGATTCATGGCAAAAGGTTACATAATTATTCAAAGTGGATTAGAATTTTTTAAAGTAAAGTCAAACAAATGTTTGTGTAGAGGCACATTTACAAGTGATTTTCTCCGATTTTTACCCGATTAATTTTAAATTGTTTTAAATCCTACAGAGAAATAAGCGGCTCATGTTTTTACATTTTCTTGAATATGAGTGTGTTCTACTTGAAAATTTCAATCTATTTGTAACCCAAAATAAGAATTTTTTTAATGCTGTATTTTTTTAGAATTTTATCAGGATCTGAAAATTTTAACAAAAATGTTGCTCAGAATTTTATATATGTTGAGCTATTTCATATTCAGTAATTAAAAAAATTCTGATTTTGTTTAATTTTGAATATTAAACATGTCAACACAATTTTATAGATATTCCGGTTAACTTACAATTTTTTCTAAGCATTCTCAAAATTCCGACGTAGCACGACAATTTCAAAATTTAAAAGTTGTTACAAACTTATGCTCATAAATATCTGTAATGTCATGACAATAATTCAAATGTTTAAAAGTTGGATTTTTGAAGTCAGATTAGAATTCTACAGGCTATCAAGTTTTGTCAAATCCCGGTCTTGGCTGCAAACTTATTCAAAATTTCGCCACATGCCAGCAGAACGCCCGCATTCAAGTAAAACTGAAAAATTCTGGTCCGCTTACATATTTATTTACTGCTGTGCGTTCATTATTCCGTTAAAAATTGGAGATAATCACTTTCTACCTGCTCGTTATTAGTAGAATTTAACTATGTATATGTACATATTTTAGGTATGCCATTAAGTAATTGCGTAATGACCTGAAAAACCTTGCACTTTGTAGGTAATAAGGTACATAAGCAAGCTATTAAATTTGTATTTACCCCTTCCCCTTTAGGAGTCCCAATCATGTGTGCCTATTTTGATATAAGCAAAAAATTATATTCAGTACAACTAACCAGCGTCAGAGAATATTCAACCTTGCTTCAACATAATCTTATAATAAGTATTTTTATTTCAATTGGTGTTCAGTGCGAAAGATGTGAATATAAACACTTTAAATATTGTTAAATGCCTAAAAATTACACTTCTTAAGTTTTCTAATAGAAATACGGATATAAAAGATTTCTATATTCTGCAGGGTATGTGCATAAATACACGTGAATACATGCACTCTTAAAAATGTGGCGAAGTTACAAACACGCTCCGTTACACTATGGGGATATCTTTCTCCCGGATCCGTTAAATTTTGTTTCTGAGTGCTAAGTTTTCAGAGCCACAAAATTACTAAATACATCAGTGGTATTGTCGGTTATTACCCGTGATGTACCACGGTCAGTAATGATTCATTACCATTTTGCTAGGAGTGTACATATGTAGACGCAATCAAATACTAAGGAATTTTTACAGAAGAGCTAAAAATACACTCCTAGGGTAATTTCCACAAAGGTTTCGTAATCTAGAACAAATTACATGAGATACCAAGAATTAGCTTGTTTTTGCATATGCGTATTAAGCTTTTCTCAGAAGCCCTCAAATTAATCAGCTTGTAGAGGAATAGGAAATTTACATATTTATTAAGGGGTGAAACCCCTTAATAAGATTGATATGCCCGTCCGTCTGTCCGTCTGTCTGTCTGTCTGTCTGTCTGTCTGTCCGTGCGATAACTCAAGAGCGGTTTAACATATTGACTTGAAATTTTGAACATGAATACTTCATATACAAGCAAAGGTTA